TTTGATAAATGCCTGAACTACCAAGAGCCGAGGAGTGACAGCAGCAATATCAGTTGGACGAGATTGAATGGTAAAGATGCCCATAAAAAAACATTATATTCGTAAAGTGTACAGCTAATATATATATACAGTTGCAAGAAAAAGTATGTGAACCCTTTGGAACTACCTGGATTTCTGCATAAATTGGTCATAAAATGTGTTCTGATCTTCATCTAAGATCACATAGACAAACACAGTCTGCTTAAGCTAAAACCACACAAACAATTATATGTTTATATGTTTTTATTGAACACACCATGTAAACATTCACAGTGCAGGGTGTAGCTGTACACTTTACGAATATAATGTTTTTTTATGGGCATCTTTACCATTCAATCTCGTCCAACTGATATTGCGGCTGTCACTCCTCGGCTCTTGGTAGTTCATTTATCGAACCTGTCAACTCCAGGTTTCCTATGCAGCTGTCAATCAAAGTCCAGTGGCTCCGCCCCAAAGTGTCAGAAACTTTTCACGCTCGCGCAGACAGACTCCGCGAGCGAGTGAGGCTGACGGCCCGTCTACACTACAGGCATCAAAAAATCTTGAAGCTGGGCGTGTCTGAAGCTTGGCGATTTTTTGCGAGCAACGCGACCAACAACCAATCACATGAATCTCCCGCCCCCGAAATACAAAGCAATAGCAATGTTAAAACGAAGTAAACTGGATATAAACACTCCAAGCAGGCGAAAAACCTACCAGTTTCACCCACTGTCTCTGCCACCTCCCTCCATGCCTGGTTCCTCCGGTTTGTATCCCGGTAAATAGTTCTGGTCGTAAAGAACCAGGTGATTTGCTACCGTAATATCTCGTTTGGAATATGAGGAAATTAAATGCGGTCTGGCTCTCCCAGCTTGCACGCGGTTTGATTGGCTAGCGCTTGCACTGGCGGGATTTGCATAAACGGGATTTGATTGGCTGATGCCAAGCATCGAGCCTCAAAAGTTGAACATTGTTCAACTTTTGATGCCGATAGATGCTCGTGATGCTTGCAAAGCCATGCCATGCTCCCCACAATGCAGTTCGGCGAAGATTAAAAATCTTCTACGTCAACCCATTCAAGTGAATGGGCGAAGCGTTGAAAGCATTTTTCGATGCCTGTAGTGTAGACGGGCCGTAAGGCACACCTGTGCAATAATCATGCTGTCTAATCAGCATCTTGATATGCCTCACCTGTGAGTGGGATGGATTATCTCGGCAAAGGAGAAGTGCTCACTATCACAGATCTTTTCAGATTTGTGAACAATATTTGAGAGAAATGGTTATTTTGTGTATGTAG